AGAGGCATCGAAGTCTGTTCGCACAATATGACCTAACCCTAAACCCTAAACCCTAAACTCAAGTCTAGTCGGCACCTCCCAATTCACCTCCCTGATGGGAGCCGGAGGATCCACGGAGACCACGGACAAAGCCTGGTTCTCTGTTGGGGCTATATATAAAAATCATCATGCTTAACCCTTATTGGGTTTAATGATCACAAAAGTGAACCCTAAACCCTAAACCCTAAACTAAAATGATATCCAACAGGGACCCAGAAGCGAGCTTCCCGAAGGGCAAGGCTTCGTCGTGGTCTGTCATCGACTGGTCCGGCTCCCAGCGCATGGACACCTGAGCAGCAAGGCTTCGGGTGGAGGACCTAGGGTTCAGGGTTTTGGGTTTTGGGTTTTAGGGTTTAGGGTTTTGGGTTTAAGGCGTGGTTTAGGGTTTAGGGTTCAGGGTTTAGGGTTTGTATGGCTCGTATTTTGTAGGTTGTATTTTGTTGTCTGCGTCTTCGGCTGTGGGCATGGCTGTCGTTGCAGGTTCTTCCGGCAGGAATGTAAAAGCCGCCGGTTTTCATCTCCCATGTCAGTAATGGCGACGGCGGTGAGAAGAGGCGTAGCAGCGCAGCAGTGCAAAAGAACGGCTGCTGTCGCGCTGGTGACTGTTTGCACAAGGTTTGCTTGTTTTTCACACTACATTGCCATCAGCAGACATATCTCAACTTGTGCTGCACGGTTGGTTATTGGTGTCCTGCTGACTTGGTACGACGGTTGCTAAGACTCCAACATCCCCCGATTACGGACGACTGCTATGACGTAAAGAAAGAAACCCGCCGTTTGCGCAAGGACCGTGACCAGAGTCTTTGCGTCTCGGGTGTTCTGTGCTATTGGTCGGATTATGTTGTTGGAGTAGGCGTTTCCATGAGTGCTGGACGGGAGATATTCAGTCGAGGTCATGTCGCAGCTGTGTACTGTATATCATAACAAAGAAACAGAGGTGGGAAGCCCGTCAATGTGTTGTGGTCTGGGTTCATGTTCTGTTACCGGATCAGGTGAGTCCACATATTTGACATCTTAGCCGTCGTACCATAAAAAGTTTGACCAACTGTCGAAACAAAGCAACATCATGAGATTACAACGATTCTTTTCATGAATGGTGCTGGTTGCACCACTTACCTCGGACTGTTGCAGCACAACGTAAGGCGCTCTTAACAACGACGAAACAAGCCTAAATCCATCGCTACCCACAGCTCACCTTCACGCTCACGTCCGCCAACTGCTCCGAGGATGTTTCGACCACGAACTCTGGGATATCCTTGCGGCTTCCGGGCTTCTGGGTCAAGGCTTTGGGGTTTAGGGTTTAGGGCTTAGGGCTCAGGGTTTTGTAATTCGTGTTTCTACTTTCGGTGTTATTGGCGGTCGAAGCTTCCCAAGGCGTGGCAACTGTAAAAGAGAGACCGATTCTGCATAGCTCAGGGTGAATATAATCATAACGGCAGTGTCATTAATGACTGGATTGTTGTTAACATAACCATAACGGTAGTTAAGTAAATAACTGCGTCTTATTAACTTGCTAAACATTCGAATCATTAATAACTGTTTTGCTTGTTGTTACTATTCGTTTCGCCAAATACAAATCCCTAGAACCTGACCCTAAACCCTAAGCCCTAAATCCTAAACCCTAAGCCCGAAGCCATAAGCCCCAAACTTGACTTTGCCTTGATCTCGGTGTGGTGGATGGGCAAAGGAACGTTCGCCTGTACACGGCCGGCCTCCAAAATGACCTCAGGGCCGTCATAAAATGAATATTAGTCGCAATGGTTTATGGGTTCAAGGTATAGGGTTATACCAATCGTGATAATAGTAATAGGCATATTAATAGTAGCAATAACAAATAATGATAACAAAAAGAACAAAAGCCATCAAGGAATTGGGGAGAGTCTCCAAAACGGGGATCCAAGTCACCTACGTCTCTTACTGCCTGTAGAATGTTCTCAACAGGAAATCTCCCATCTCCCACCCCACCCTAAACCCTAAACCCTAAACCCCAAACCCTAAACCCTAAACCCATATACCCTAAACCCTAAACCCTAAAAAAGCTGCCTTAGGACAGCCTGCGCTCCTCAGAGAAGAACCAGGCCGATGCTTCGACTCACCAAAGAGCTAAAGTCATAATCGGGAGAGCAGCAACAAGAACGTATGATACCGCGATGTCGTAACATACGAATATGCGTAAAAGCATGGCAGGGTCCATCCACCTATGTGGAGATATATATATATATCTATCTATCTATCTATCTATCTATCTATTTGTGCATCTATCTGCGTATTGATTTTATCTGCTTACGAATGCATAGATGTCTGTACAGGTAATTACTCACACACATCTGCATAGCAGCTTGTCCAAGCTAGTGTAGAAGTCTGCAAAACTGCCGTAGAGTTCCTCATTCAAGCTTTTCTATCATGAACCCCAACAGCCCTATTCCAAGTGCTAAGGCCCCTGTACTGACTGAAGAACCCGCCCACTATAGATCCATTCTAGAACCCCTCAAGCAACCCTCATAGCACCCTTTCAAGGAACCCTGCTCTAATGATGGAGGCCTCCATAGTCTAACAGCCCCAGACCTCACCCTAAACCCTAAACCCTAAACCCCAAACCCTAAACCCTAAACCCTAAACTAAACCCCTGACCCTAAACCCCAAACCCTGAACCCGAAACCGCCAGACCTCCAGCCGAGCGTTGGTACTCCCATGCGCGGCAGACACCAAATGGTCCTTGTCGGAGTCGCTGAGCTGACCAAGAAGATCGCTCACCACCTGAACAGCGGAGTTGAGGGTTTGGGGTTTTACGGTATAGGGTTTAGGGTATAAGGTTTAGGTGTGCGGGGTTTAGGGTTTAGGGTTTAGGGGTTTAGGGTCTAAGGTTTAGCGGTTTAGGGTTTAAGGTTTGGTTTAACGTATCATAACATAGCGTAGTAGGGCACAGAATAAAATCTAACATGCAATCTGCAGTATAGGAGAAGTACAGTAAAGTAAAGTACAGCACAGCAACAGTACAGCAGAGTATAATACAGTATAGTATAGTACAGTATAGTGCAGTACAGTACAGTATAGAATACATAGTATAACATAACATAACACAACATAAC